TGAGAGTGGCGGGATCCAGGCCCCGTGGGCCAGGTCTCCAGGGGGCTTGGGGCCTGGGCCCCCAGGGCTTGGGGCCCGGCCCACCAGGGGCCTGGGGCCTTTTCCCCACAAAAACCACCCAAACCTCTGGGTTTTCACCCTCTCCGCCTTCGGCAACCATCCAACACGCCCCCCAAGGTCGGCGGACTAAAGTCGCGGTAAGGCTCTGAGGCGCAACAGTTTTTAAGAGTGCTGTGGAGTGGTTTCAGGATCTGGGTTCTCTAGAGTTAGGTTGCGGATTCAGACTTCATGGACGACACCAACCGCAAAGCATGAAACCCTGCCCACAAGGTGATTGTTTAGATGGCTCTGGAGCCATATGATTATGAGACCTCTTCTCCATCTTAAGAGCTCAGGTATGATCGCCTTGCTGGGCGATGGCTCACTGCCGCCGCAATGCTCCTTGGCGAGTGCACTAAGCCACAGCCCTTAGCCTCATGCGGGATGTCCCAATTTTGCTTTCATGCACAGTATCCCGTCTGAATCACATCAAACAAGCCCACCGCAAGTCGTGGGGACCTCAGACAAAACGTGGCCATGCTAGCAATATCATTTCGGCATTCTTGCTTGCTGCCAAATTTGCATTCTTCAGGGATGGGGACTTCGCAGCCCTGAACTGTTATGTCAGGTTCGCATCAATCTGCATGGTTGTGTTTGCGGAATGTGGATTCAAGCTGTTGTGATCTTAAAGGCTTGAAAGGTGTTGTTGCAGTATTCCCGGCATGGACCAGGGACGTATTGAGCACTCTTTCTATGTGGAGCGTTACCTTCCGACTTGTCCGGCTGGCATGTGAGCAGTGTAGGAAGCAAGCCACATGGCTCCGTGCATGTAGGGAAACCCTGGCTGACTGCGCCAATGGTTAGAGCACCATGCAGATGCCAAACTTCTGAAAGGAGGATACAGGGTCCGGGTGTGTACCAGAGGGTGGCAACGTGTAGTTCGTCATGGAAGATGACGTCTACATGGAGCATATCGGAGCTTCATGGTGCAGCAAGAGAAAAGGAATATACAGTGGAATTTGATAGATGGAGGATGAGTTGCATGGACATCCAGTGAGACGGATTAGATGATTTGTTCAAGTCCTTCGCCTTCAAGCAACAGAACGTGTTGCACGCCTGAATCGGAAGCCTGAGAAACAAAACTTCTACCGGGCTACCGTGCTCTTCCGAGGCGCGTCATGCAGTCTGGAAAGCCCAAACAAAGACTGAAATCTCAACCCCAAGAAATCCCCAACATACCAGAGCCTGAAGACATCAATGCCTCGCCTCATCTGTGGAATAGAGTTAGGTTTCCGTTCACCTGCCCTGGTATGGACTAAAGTTCCAGAACTTCCACCCTCCAATACTCCAAAGACAAATACATATGTCCCTGGGTACATTTGCAGCACTATAAGAAGGGATGCTCACTATTAGGAGGTCGTGCAGCGCTGAATTGTGGGCAGAAGACATGACTAGTCCTTGAGTCAAACCAGTGCCCTCTTTCCAGAAGGTTTAGAGTCTCGCACATTTCCCTACCACCTAATCCCCATATCATTCCAGTTTCCATGTCATTTTCCGTTTGATTTACAGTACCATTTTTACCCTAAGCCCTAAGCCCACGATACAATCTGTATACCAACCCCCGTATAATCATTTCATTTTCCATTTGATTCTCCAATATCCTTTTGAGCCTGTGAGAAAGCACCGCCTCCCAGGCTTGGTGTAGCACAGCTCGAAAATCGTCAGGGTGCTGTTGATCTTGCCACTGGCGCTGCACTTCATGTGTGTCTGACGGCAACCCTACCACATCTTGAGAACCATGAGGATTCAGCATGCGCTTCTCGTGGCCTCTCACATACCCCGACTTCTCAATTTGAGTGGGCGTTTGCAAGGCTGATGGTTGAGGCTCAGCGTTGGCAGCGCTGAGTCGAGGGATCAGGGATTTGGCGGCGCTTGCCTGTGGTGGCCTCACTGGAGCAATAGGGCTTTCCAAGAAGGAGCACCATTTGGTCGCTTCTCCGGAACCCTGTGTGGCTGGTTTGTTTTCTTTCGGGGTCAGTCCACCAAGCAAGGCCATCATGCTCATCAAGCCTCCTCTTCTTGCGAGAAGCGCAGGCTTGTCGTAAAGAATCCTCAGAGGGGACCCCTATAAACTCCTGAAAATTCTTTTCTCTATCCCTCGGCGATCTAAGGGCCACTTGGTGGGAAATCCCCAAGTCAGATTTGGGGGCAGGGATGGGACCAACAACTTGAGACCGACCAAGGACGAGCAGCAGTGGAAGTCGTTCGTTTTGTCCGGCTTGGTCCGCAAGAGTGAGGCGCGGTCGCTGGCGCTTGCCTGGTTAGGGGGCTAAAAGCTTGGAGCCACTTCCGAGGGATGCAGGTGCTACTTGTATAGGCATGGATTTTAGCAGGATGACCTTTGAAGGATGCATTGCGACTTGTTCGCTTTGGCTGGAAATCTCGCATCAGCAAGCCGCAAGAACAAGCGCAACTCAAAAAGAACATCGGTTCTCTCGCGGCAACTTGGCAAGATCTGATTCTTTTCTGTGACACTGTGCAACCGAAACCTGCATCCTTTCAGAAGCTCCTGCTAACACCATGGGGTGCTTCTGGTCAACTGCAGAGTACAGGGATTCGATCAGTACGGCATGTAGCTCCGGCAAGGGCTCCGCCAGAGATTCCTGGATCCTGGATCCCTTTTTTCAGCATCCTCGCAGTTCAGGCTGCGTGCTCCTCACGAAGTGCACGACTGTCCTTGTATTTTGGAAACTCCATATCCTGGTCCACGCCTCGTCTGCGCTTTGGCACGGCTCCGTTCTCGCATGGAGCGTGCTCGCAAATTTCAACTCGAAATTCATCTTCAGGTTGCCATCCTTGTAGCTGGTAGTGCTCGTGTGGTCCTGGCCTGGAGTGCGCTTAAAGTGCTGTTGCAGTACTCTTTGAGTGGTTTTGGAGTGGTCTTGGAGTGTCTTGGAGCGCTCTTAGGTGCTCTTCGGGTGTTTGTTGAGCTCTAAGCGAGCTCTTGGAAAGGTCTTGGTAGTCTCACGCTGTTTCCGGTCCATGCTAGCAGGCTAATGAGGCTTAGACAGAGAGATTTGAGAAACTCCATATGCGTTCTAGATGGTGGTACTGTTGATGGAGGGAAATGGTAGTTTCTCTAAAATAGGGGACCCCAGTATAGACCCCAAAATACTATAGTCATTATTATGGGGACCCCCAGAAACGTACACAAAATTTTGGAAACTAACAAATCTTTTGGGACTCAATGCCCCGCCCACCCTGCAGTGATGCCAAAGGCCTGTTGGGACAAATAACCAAAATCCTGCGCCACCTCAATTTGTTGTGGAGGTTATATTGGGATAATTGAAAAGAAAATGGAAACTGCTATTTAGGATTAAGGTCTTTTAGGTGTTCTTGGGTTTAGGCCCCGATGTTAAACAGGGGGTGGATGTGTGGATATGGTATTGTTTGTTAGCATAGGGGTGGTGCAAGATTTCCTCCGTCCCCCGTACTGTGATAGATTGCACGACCATGTTTCGTAATATGCGTGCGTAGTTATGGGATCTGTGCATGACCACCACCAAGTTTTCAAACCAGGCACTAATCTGTTGTTCTTCATGTTCCTCCTAGTGAATACTTTGAATTACTCCATTGTGCTGCAAACACATGCCTATCTAGTCTTGGATGTCTCAAAATCATCCTTATGTGCGTTTGCCAACTTACGCCCTCCCTTAATTTTTGGAGAGGTGAAACTTACGACGGCAATGATAACAAGAAGCCACAATAGTAATCATCGCTTAGCACGCTTCCCACATCCTGAGAGACAGTTCCACTGACAGCCCGGGCCCCAAAAGCTCTGGAATTCGAACCCTGGACAGCCGAAAGAGCAGGTGGAGTTTCTTCGTGGACTTGGAGGCCCGTCGCAGGATCCTTTAGGGCTTCAAAACATGCATGAACCTCAGCTTTCGTAGTTCTTCCAGGGTCCATTTCTTTGGGGCTGCACTTAGTTAAAGTAAGCGGATTGTAAGCAAAGCCTTTTTGTGATGGCGTAAATGCCTTCACGTGAGGGATTTGTGCGGAAGTTGGCGGAAGCACTTGCTTCAGGTGGCAAGTCTAAAGCCCTGAGCCCGAAATCCTATAAATAAACCCTTCAGCCCTAAAACCAAAATCTACAGCTTAAAGACCTGAAACCCCAAGATCCTAAACAGCATGGCTCAGTTTTCAGGCCCTGGCCGACTCTTGGTGCTCACGCAGATGGCCGGCGAAGTGGTCCGGACTGGCCTCGAAGCGACTTTGGGGGTCAAAAGGGTGGCTGTCAAAATTATCGTCCCCTTTTGGGTACCCTAGATATTAGGTGCCGTACTATTATAAGGACCCAAAAAGGGACCATAATTTTGACAACCACCCATATGCTTGGAGGGGCTCTCTAGATTTGGCAAGTCTATTTAGTAATGGGAGAAGTACTGCGAATAAAAATGGGGGGCCGGTGGGGATAGTAAGTAGACTTACTGCGTCAAAAGAGCCTTCAAGGAGGGTCCTGCCGGTGTAGGCACTATGGGTCCCTTTGGGAGATCTAGGGATCACATAGGGCTATAGGGAGGAATATTTAGGGGGAATGTAGAAATGTTCAAAGGGAGTTGGAAAGAAGATGGCAGCTACCATCATGTTTAGGCTTTCGGGTTTGGGGTAATGTAGGGTATGTGTAGGGGTATATAGGAGAATGGAAATAAGTGGGAGCATGCATACCTTGGGGTTTATGGTGTAGGAAAAGTTAGAGTAATGGACATGGAGAAAATACTTATGGGGGAAGTAGGTCAATAACCTTATAACCCATATAGTAACCCCTTTTATCCCGATTACTAACCTACTTACTAAGTCCCCCTGACCCTCCAAGTATGGAACATGAAGTGGATCTGGTTTTTGTAGGGTTTGTGGGGGCTGTTCTTTGAGCCTAACTAGGAGTATAATCCTACAGAATAGTTACAAAACCTTACAGGGAAGACGCTTGGCGACCATCCGGTTTTGGGGCTTTGGGATGATGGTGAGGTTTAGAATATTTGCGGCTGACGGATCAGGATTGAGGATTGTTTCATGGCAGAGATGGGCTTTCAGAGGGTTTCGAAGGATTGTCTTCCTGGGGCCTTGCGCATTGCTCATATGCGCGCACTTTCTCTCATGGGTGGCAAGGACTGCTGTGCAAAATGCAGCCTCGGCATACTAGCGCCCGTCGACTAGATATGAAGATAAAGGTTTCCATTTACTAGGGTCCCTCTGTGGGGTAAAATGAGATCCCCTGTTTGGGAAACTGCCATAGGTGCCATAGTCAAACTCCTAGACTCCCCCCTTAATAATTCTTTCAATGTTCCCCTATATAATCCCCTAGAAAAACCCCTTTTTTAGGAGTCCCGAACCCCACTTTAGGAAGTTTAGAGTATAGTACCTGTGCCCCGTGTCTTTAGATCTGCCATGGCTAAGGCTCCAAGCCCATATGAACTATACTCTAAACTCCTTAAAGGGGATCATATAAGGGATTATATAGGGACTATTATAGGGGTTATTAAGGGGGATACTAGGAGTTTAGACTATGGCTCATATAAGGTCTTTGAACATGCCGTGAAAGCTGCGCGCAGGAATCCAACTAGAGCCTCTACAACCTAAGGCCTTCCAACTATAGTCCCCCTTAAGTAGATAGAATATAGGGTTTAGGGTTTAGGGGTTATAGCCCCCCTTAAGTGGAGATAATATGGGGTATATGGGGATCTTAATATACCCAAAGCCACACTCTATCTACTTTAGGGGGACTCTACGTACACCCACGCTGAAGGGCTAGACCTTGGCAGCTTCCCTCACGAGTCTTGAAGCCTGACGAGCCCTAGACTTTGATATAGGGTTATATAGGGTTTCATAGGGTTATATAGGGTTATATAGGGTTATATAGGGTTTTATAGTTTTTTTTATAGGGTTCTATAGGGTTATATAGGGTTATATAGTGATAATGGAAAAGAAAATGGCAAACAATTTAGGGTTTCCCCCGTATTCGATTGGTCTCAACAGTTTGAGCCTAAGTGAGGGTCTCCCGAAATTGGGGATAACGTTTTGGGGTCCCAAGATTAAGTATCACAGTATTTTGTTGGGTCCGCTTGGTTAGGGAGACTGCCATGTGTATTGGAGATAGATACCATACCCCATGAAACAGCTGTTTTACTTGTAAAGGCCAATGAAGCCTCGGGTCAGACTGTTCTGACCGAGATGGTCGACAGGATCCTGCTGTATAAGGAACACCACCAGGAGCCCTGAGGGAGGGCCTTTGGATATGTAGGGAACTACACAGGGATTGTGGGGTCAGCATAATGGGGATTATATAGGCAGCAGGGAAGGATAATATGCGGGTTTATGGGGTCATTATAGGGATTCGACTATCGGGAGTCTATAGGGATTTTGGAGGTCTTATATGGGGGTTATATGGAGATTATACGGGAATTTTATTGGGAGTACTAAGGGATTATGAGGGCCCGGTTCACGGTTGAAAGGTTCGGCTGGCAGAGGATGCAACTTGCTAGTCTTTGGGGACTGCAGGTTTTGCTGACCATAGGGGCCTCCAATTTTTTTGGTTACCATAATCCCAATAACAACCAAACATCCAGGGTTTAGGGTTTAGGGTTTAGGCCAGTTTAACTGAATCTTGTCAAGTTCTAAGGTTGGAAGTATGGGCCCCTAACATGGGCGCTCCTGGCCTTGTAGGTGCATTCCAGGGACCTTAAGGGTACATATAGGGTATAGAGTATGTATATAAGGAATCCAGGGTTAGGGCCCATACTAGGGGCCCATGGTTTCAACCTTAGACAAGTGTGGATACAGGTTAGGTTGGGCACCCGCCCAGTAGTAGTGACCACAGGAGATAAGGGAAGATTGTGGCAAAGGTTCCTTATATACTCCTAGTATACCAGTATTAGTGGGTGGGGGCATAATCCAAGGTACATGTGCAAATGTGGCTTCTGCAAGACCTTCTTGGGTGGCTGTGAAGTACAGTTTTGCTGCGCCCTAGGTGTTGGGGTTCTCCATTTTCAGACAGTTGATGCTGCATAAGGAGAGCGCTTGCCCCAGACCCGTTACTCCTCAAGCTAAGCCACGCGAACGAGAGCGAGTGCAGTTGTTCAGGACCTGCTGGACGTCGTAGGTGTGAAGGTGCCTTTCCATTACCACCATTTGCTGACGGCTCCCCGACTTAATAGCCCCCTGCGCCTGCGGGGAGGTTTGGGCCGACATTTTTGTCTTGGCGCAGCATTGTGCCCCTACACCCAAAACCCTATATAGCCCTATATACAATTAAAAGGCCTTTTACCCAGAACGCCACAGGGCCATTGCTTCAACCTCCAAAGCCACGTGTGTCACAGCCAAGGGATTTGAAAAAGAAAAGACACAACACGAATTGACTAAAAGTATCATTTTTGTGCGTACTTGTATATTACTATTACTCCTATTGCTGCTACTACTACTATTCGGAGGTGCTGAGTCCCTGAAACCTAAGCCCTAGCTTCAATCTTGAATCCTACGGTCTCTACTTCATTCTGAACCCTAAGAGCTCATGATACGTCCAGTAGGTTATGGTCTTTATCGATCTGCTCGTGCTGTCCTATGGAATGGCGCTAAGCGAATCCTGCCTGGCGCCCTGAAGCTTGGCTTTGATATCCATGTCCTAAACCCTAGGGTTGAGGGTTTAGGGCTTCGTGGGGTGTGCATGAGGGTGTATGTGGATAAACTGGGATCTGTAGGGAATATGAGGTTAAGGGTTTGGGGGCCAGGGTGAGGGGCTTGGGACTCCAAATTACGGACAAGCCTTGTTTGGTGCAGATCCTTGTAGAGTATCCTGCCGAACATCAAAGGGGGGCGTCTAAGTTTGGGACGTCCAGCTTGCAAGGCATGATTCCCAATACAGACCCCAAAATACTATAATCCTTATTATGGGGATCTTCAAAATTAGTACCCTTAATTTGTGAAACCCTGACTTAGGGTTTTGTTTTGGAGGGTCAATGCCGAGCTCCTTCACATTCTCCTTTTGAAGCCGTATCAGGCGGTTGTCTTAAGCTGAGTCGAGCCCCGTTTATAACCCATATATAATCCCTATAGTTTCCATTTTGTTTTCCATTATCCCTGTACAAACCCTAGATATTCCCGATATTAATATAACCCTCATATATCCAAGCCAAGCTTCGCCTTTTTGGTCGTCCCGTCAGGTTTAGCACCTCCTTCTTTTTGATACTGATACGGCCATCAAGATTCATACTGGGCCCATAGCAAGGGAGATCTCATGGAGGCGGTGGATTCAGCACTATAAGGGAAGATGACTCCTAAAGCTGCAGGGCTCTGCAAACACAAATTCGGACATTCCCTTTCATCCCCATCTGAAGTTTCCTCCGCTGCAATACTCTTTCCTATCAAGCGTGGTCTCCACTGAAGCAAGGCGGAAAATCACAAATCAAATTTGCTAAGGTCAAAGAAAGCATATCCCGAGACACAGCCTTGTAGCTTGTGAAGGGTGTTCAGACATTTTTGGATTGAGGACTGAAACATTAAGGGCTTTGCCAGGGGCACAAGCTTTTGTCTTCAAAGCTGCGGCTTTCAAAGGTATGTTCCTCCTCATGGCTACCATCATGATCGGGATGATGGACGCAGCTTGCTGGCAAATCAGGGTTGGGGCTAGTTTGGCGCTGGGATCTTCTGGTAGCGATGCTTGTCTATGTGTGATCTGTGCACAAATGCATCGCGCAGCCTACCATAAATCTCTGGTTATATAAGGATAATGGAAAATAAAATGGAAACTACTATATTATATTGGGGTTATATTGGGATAATAGTAATTGATTACAGATTGACAAGACCTCCTCTGAGCTTTAGTGTGTTTGACTTCGAAGGCATCGCAACTTTAACTTCGCACCCGTGAAGGCCCCGACTAGTTCATAGCCACGACAGTTGACAAGGTAGTAATAGGATGATTTGACTAGGCTTCCCTATGAAGGAAGCAGTTTCAGAGCTTCAATAGACCTATACATTCAGCCTACGGCCCATACAGGTGAGTATCACCGATATCCTAGTGTTGTCTGGTTTAAGACAACTTTTCTTTGTTCAGAACCGGTTGTGAACATAACAATTTAGATTTTGGGTGGTATCCCAAAACTCAAAACCGTAAACCCTAAACCATTTTACTCAGGGCCGGGGACTGAAATCTCTAAACGAACAGCCCTGAGATCACTTGACCCACAAAAAGCTCTAGCCCCAAGCTGTACTAGCATTCCCTTATCTTACTCGGGGTTAGTAGGGCATAAGGGAATATGACTGTGTTCCTTAGCGACCTCGGCGACTTACACCCCAAATCGCTTCGCCCAAGCGCTTTCTGTTGAGACCTATAATCACTTCAACCCAAAGCCATACCTGAAACCCAAAAAGTAGGCAAACTACAGGCCCCAAAACTAAAAAGAGTCACATCGCACCTTTCCATATTCTTTGGGGGGGCCGAAGGTACTTGTGCCAATCCCCCTAGGTGGCGTCTCTGTTGTGGAATCCGTTCGGTGCACACGCCACGGGCTTCGCGCTGCATCAGTGGGCCGGTCTTGTTCAGCCCGAAGCCCTCCCCTCAACAAACCAAGGGCTAAGGATAGCCGGGGGTCTGCAATCGTGGTTTAAATGTTTGGGTTGATAGGGGATCGGGCCTTGAGATGTAGCAGCTAGAAGTCAGGAAATTTGTGCGGGATGTAATTTTTAGAGCGGTCTACAATCTGGGCGAGGCGTGGAACTTGGTTGGGTTGACAAGTTCGGGTTTTCGGCATGTGGTTGACGTGGTTTAGGACTGATGTTTGGGAGAAGGCGGCCTTGGCAACCCCTTTTCTTGAGGATCCTTGAATTAGGAGCTTCAGCCTTCTGACAGGTTCATTGCCTTCATATCCCCACCCAGCTGACGAGACCCGTAGTTTGGAGCAGTCAACTGTCAGGCGGTTGGTCAGGTGCTTGAACTTTGGGGACTGGACTGACCTCTCATAGCGGGAAGTTACTTAGGTCTTCATTCTTTACTTCCAAAGCTAATACTAGAACTTCTATCCAGCACAGACTACAGCAATATTACAGCATCATAGTATCAACGGTCCTGGCAAGGATTGAAGCGTACCTACGATGCGTATTGTCATGCACTGCTAGGATGCCATTGTCAGTGTCATCCGGCCGTCACAAAAAATAGGGACTTCAGGATATCAGGTCAAGTGGATGTAGAGAGTAAAAAGAAGACACCACTGGGTATATGGGTAGTTCCTCCCATTTTTGTACCCTAGAAATCAGGTGCCGTAATGCGATCTATGACCAAAAGGGGCCCTAATTTTGAGAACAACCCATATCTTAAAAATGAGACGACCGGACTGTATGTCCCCTATAACATGAGCATCCCCATTGAACGGAAACCCGTGGAAGGGACGCAAGATCTTGCAACCTGCCAACTCAGGTGAGTAGTATTTCGTTTGGGGATACTCTAGAACGCCTTGTACCACGAAGCAAAACGCCACTCAGGTGGGCCCAAGAGTTCCTAGCGGGCGTGCGCGCCATCCTGGACTACGAGCATGACGGCCGTCGGTCTGATCTTGTTTAGTAGAAAATGGAGGAGAGAGGTGCCTGGTACATTTTAGAGCCACCCTAATAATAGCAATAAAAATAAGAATGGTAGTAGTAGTCGTAGTAGTAATAATAGTAATATTAATAGTAATAGTAATACTAGCAATAATAATAGTAGTAATAATATTAATAGTAATAGTCATAGTCATGATCATGTCCGATTTCCTTCATTCTCGCGAGCCAGCAGTCAGAGAAAAAAGCTTCTAGTGATTATTTATGGTTGCATCCCAAAAATGATTTCGTGAGTTTCCTGCAGAGACGTTTGGACGAAGAGGCCATGTGGGGATTGCTTAGGGGATCATGTGAACAAGCCTCACGTTGTTGGATTCAGGTCAATGCTAAGGCCCTACTTATTGGTTCTTAGCCCTACAGGTTGGTGAAAGCCATAAAGCCTGCACCCCCGAAACATCCCAGGCTCAAAGGAGGGATGGAAGCATGAACTCCAAGAGGAGCCGAGGGGTTTGCGGCTTGGGGTTTGGGGGGTTTAGGTAGAGTTTAAGGGTTTGGGAGCTTGGTGGTGCTGAGAAGTTAGGTTTTGGCTCAGGAATACCCGCAAATAGGCGAGGTTCTGTCTTGGGGGAGGTTCATTCCGTGTAACTACAGATTTTGTTGCACATAGTTAGTGTTTGGGCTGCCCCGAGCCCCTACCGGAGGCCTTGCTGGCTTCAGGTAGAGTGGAATTCGGGCTGGTCATGACGCACAACCCTGAGCCCTGTGACCCAAATCCTCCCGCAAGCAGGAGCACTATGCCAACATTGACCTTCAGAAGACACCCGAGGAGGTCCTGCTTGCTGTCTGATTGGGGAATTTTGCAAGGTGAGGGCGATTGCATGTCTTCTAGGAAGCACGGTTCTGATCATGAAGAGCCACGAGACGGCTCCATGATTCTGCAAGACTGCAATTTGATTGTGAAATAGGTTCCGGCCAGCTGCGTAAAGGGTTGCCAAGAAGTGAGCTATAGTCCAAACTCTTAAATGTTATTAAGGGGGATACTAGGAGTTTAGACTATAGCTCAAGTGGGGCTTGGGGCTTGCAGAACAGGGGTACCACAATATACTATGATATACCATAATATACCATAACATACCATAATATGTCGTAACCTACCATAATATACCATAACCTACCATAACATGTCGAAATATACATCATGCCAACCTATCTCACAGAGCTTACTCCCAGAGGTAGGTGTCCCAATCCCAGACCAGGGCAAGGCTTCAAAGTAAATATAGGGATAATGGAAAAGAAAATGGAAACAGGGATTATAGGGGTTATATAGGGGTTATATAGGAATTATAGGGTATTATAGGGTTCTATAGGGATAATGGAAAAGAGGATGGAAGCTACTAGAATTGGTTCTGTGGGGTTTAGGGTTTAGGGCTTTAAAAAGTATGGTTCCTAGAATTGGGGTACTTTCAACGGGGGTTATAGGGGCTCTCTGGGGATATATAGGGTTTAGGGTTTAGAGGGCTATGCGGGGATATATGGGGTTTAGGGCCTCAAGTTGCAATCAAAGCTCAAAAAAACACTCGAAAGGTCATTCTTGGTTGTCCTCACAACTTGCAGACGCAATCCCACAGATCCTACGTATGGACCCCGTGGGCATCGCGCTACTTGCTAGGTCTCAAGGTCATTTGGCATAGCCACCACGACAAGTAGTCACTACATACTCCCTATGCATACTCTATAGGACCCGTCCGGTAAATCTTACATGAGAGTTTGCATAACCCTTATTAGGACATCCAAAAAGGACCCCGATGTTGGGAAGCGCTGAGAGACTTTTTTGGGTGGACACAGGTCCAGACTCTGTTTGACCGAGCTCCGCAACCGCCTCCCCAGCAGGCCCGAGAGGGGGACGTACATGAGCTATAGTATTGACTACTAGAAGGGGGTTATACAAGGGATTATTATAGGGCTTATGAAGAGGGATACTAGAAGCTTAGACTCTAGCTCACATAGGGCGGACTTTTGGGGTATCCGCGGTGCGCGTTTCAAATCCTTGATACTTTCTGGAGTAAGGGTGTTCTGGGCAAAGAAGGATTTTCTTTCCGGGCTTAAAGCTTCGGGTCTGGGGTTCAAGCGGCTCGGATTTCGGGAGTTGCTTTTGGCGGCTCCTATGCTGATCATGCTCTGGTTTTTTGGTGGGGAAGTTGGGTTTCTCAAAAAGGCCCAGGCGCGACGGTATGATACCGTGTAAAACCACCCCAAAGAAGACATGCGTAATCTTGAGAACCCTAAAATGTGCGATTGCTAAAATGGATCGGGCATTGCAGTATATAGAGCTTCTTGTTTGGTGTCCCTATGACGGTGTCTAAAGATTCCAGGATATGATATTGGGTCTTTAGCGGATTCTGGCATTTAACATGTTTCTGAGGCTAGGTCACAGAACATGAAATGGGAGTCTGGATGGTTCTTCAGCCTTGTTTCTGGTGTTGGCATCCTTGTTGTATTAGGCAGTCAGAGTATTGTGCCACTCCTTATACCATACTCCCCATATGTCCTTTGGTTGTAAGGGTCCTCATCGAAATCCACGCAACCCAAGACCTAACCTTTAAGATGTACACCTATACATGCATGCATGTCTGTATGATTCTATACACACATAGATCTCGCTCGCTCTCTCTCTCTATCCCTCTCTTTCTCCCCATAAGCTCTTTGAAGGGACCTCAGGCCAGTATCAGATCACCACCCCAAGTCAGCGCATGAATGCTTTTCTGGGTTACATCCTTGTGCACCTTCATAGACCACTGTTCTTGCAAGAGGCCTCACATGAATCTCCATGCCAACTTCGTGGAGGTTCAGGGACTACATTGAGAAACTTCCGAACAAAGTCAGACAGTCCCGTCTGTGCGTTCGGATTTTCCTCAAGGTGTTCAGCATTGTTGAAGAATTGAATGACCCTGGTGATGTTCTGACGGCAGGAGGAGTAAGGCAGGGACTAGAACATGTTGTATGAAGTTGGTGGTGACTTGAAGGGCGCTAGCCTCCCCAAAGCCCACACACCTCGAGGTGAGGGTTTAGGAGTTCAGTGTCTAAGGCCTTAAACCCTGAACCGCTTTGGGGCTTGCCGCAAATCTTCTGTCGACATCGCAAGCTTGACCTTTCTGCCGAAGAAATCGATTTTTTGCACAGGCCTACCCCACATTCCGAATCCGACCATTACTGCCAGAACCAGTGTCCAAAACCCTACCTCATCCCTAAACCACCTGCATCCCCATATCCCCGGAACCCTCAAGCCCCAAAATCGCCAACAAACTGCAGGTGGTGGTGGCAGATGAGCATCCCGGCATCCTCATAGCCCTAGATAAGGGGATTTCGGTCACCCCCGCCCCCAAAGGATTACATAGAGTTAGATAGGTATACATATACTGTCATATATGTATAATATTATTTGTTTATTTTTGGATGTAGAAGGTTTTGGTAAGCGCAACACCCAAAACAAGGCCCACATGATCACGTGATGCTTACACAATCTGTAGGGTTGGAAACAACTGGGGTTTTCAACTGAGGACCACAAGGATGTATAGGTTTTCTAGGGGATTAAGGGATTATGTGGAGCCCTAGTACGGGTGCTATAGAGGCGTTTTTTAGACACTGCCAACTGTGTGTCACATGAGGAGTTCTTAAAAGCACGGGTTCCATATTGGTGCCTTGAGAAAAACCTGAAGCCCCCATGTGAGATTAGCACGGCGTCGTGATTTTGGTCGTTAATATCAATGAGACTGGAATGGCGACTGAGTTGAGCTTAAGACTTCATTTTCAAACAGTAGGCTTTCTGAAATACAGGTGTTCTGAGCATGGGAAACTTCAGAGTCCTTAAGCTTGCAGTAGGGCAATCCTTCGCGCCGATCAAGGCAAGTGCTTAGTGGTCCTCTGTTTAGTTTCATTGTCGCATGTTCACTAGGGTCATCTTCACGGGGCTCGCGGTTCCAAATAAACAATGAGACGTAGGCGAGTTTTCTGCTGAGCACATCACCATTTAGCCGCTCCCTACAGGCATGCAACCCCTACTATCGAGAAAGTCATGTGCAATGACTCTTTCAAGTACCTATTCGGACCATGTGTATTGCTGACATGGCTGCTGCCTCTTGCAGCCGGCACTCTGCTGCCCCGACAAGGCACGCGTACACGCAGCAAGAGCATGAACATGCCCCTGACGGCCATGTCGAAGTGGACGTCGGTGACTGGGAATCAAGAGCACATCTTGTTCCAACTCCAACATACAGGGATACCGGGACAGCACCGAAGTTCTTTTAAAATGGTTCAGTTGTGGCTCTCAAGGATTGACATGAGAAGTGTTGGTGAAGACTCAGGTTTGGCAATGTGTGCAGAAAAGGGGCCCAGCCTTATGGTGGCTTCACGCATGATAAGTAACCCTCCCCCAGTGGCCAGGGTCGAAGCTAAGTATGACCACAGGAGCATGTGCATATGAGTTTATAGCTAGCCGCTTTCTTGAAAATCAGCAGTCCAAAGAGCTCCTGACATGAAATGCAGGATAAGCTGCGGCACTCCAACAGTCAGCATCTGCTCAAATTTCCATTCAATCTTTGTGTTGCCCCCTTGCGAGGAGTTTTGAAGAAGGCTTACTTGGACAACTGGCCAGCTACTGTAATACTCTACAATTGTGAAACCGTAGTGCAGTACAGAAATCTGAAATGAAAGTAGACAAAAGTTGTGGCTATCGTCGTGCTTCTCTTGAAGGAGGTGTCGTGGAAGCAGTTGGGAAACCTTCAGGTTTGTACAATGTTCAACTGCCTGCTTTAAGTTTGGATCTGGGAGCTTGTAGCCCCAAAGCCTAAACATTGAATAGCTTCCTATCTGGTCACGTCAACGCTTGCGCATACGATTTCAAGCGCCGCAGTGCCAACAAGTCCTTCCCCGAGAGTTTTTTCTATCGCACGCAGGTACGTATCCACATGTGACCTACCAAGATGTGGTCCTAAAGCCGAATTCTGTGTTGCCCTCAACAATGATCCCTAAACCCCAAACCCGAGCCAGGAGCAGGAGTTGCAGGCGACGGGTGAAGGAGATATGGGTCGTCTCAAACTCAACGGCCTGCGTGTGGAAGCTTCTGAAAGGGTAGGCTAGGAGCTTTGATAGTGAAGCTTGTTGTTTAGGGTTTGTGGTTTAGAGTGTCGGGTTTAGGGTTATTCCAATTGCCTTGAGGATTAATTATGAAGACATGTTGAAATCTGATCAAGGGGGATTTAAAGCAGAAATTCTTTATGTCGAGCTTGTGGGCGACGTCGAAGGATTGCAAGTTTCACCCGGAGCATGCGTGAGGGCGGCCAGCGCGCACCCTCGGCTGCCAGATTCCAGCCCGGGGGTTCGGGGGTTTCGGGATGGGTGCTTTTATCTTGACCTTGTGGAGCCAAAGCCAAGGAACCACTAGGACAATAACCACATCCAGCAATTCCGTCGAAACCAAGATTCCTTCCTGAGCTTCCTCAGGAGCATTGCATGAAGGTTCTTTTGCTCAAGCGTTCTGCAATCATCTCCATACAGCGACTGCGCCGGGGCACGGGCTGTAATTGCAGCGAGGTATCATTCCTTGCAGCTTTCCACGTTGACCTGGATCAACTCAATTCGTTAAGTAGCAAGCGTCCTGTTACCTGTCAGCTAGTGTTTTGGGGTCCTTGCAGCATGTGCTCCAGGAAAGTGACATAGTTTGCTGATATCCCCGGTTCAGAAAGACCACTAATGTGCTCGTGGTGCCTAATTACCATGGCCAGTCGTCTCAAACTCTGAACCCTGCGAGACAACCCTCTGGCCCAAAGTGGCCTACAAGCTCACGTGCTGTGACGCAAAAGAGGCACTATCTGTTCGGGTTCCCGTGCTGCTCTTGCGAGCCGCCCCGCCTACACCAACCCCCAAGGTGCCCCGTAATTGGTGTTCAGAAGCCTGAATGATTCCGAATAGGCTTAGTTAAGGGAGAACCTAGGGGCGGGCTACTCGGGTGGGGGCAGTAGGAGAACCCATGATGCTTTGGCTACATGGAAGAATCGGAGCGGCTACAACTTGCGGTGTAAGGCTTCAGGATCGGTTTTTTTGAATGTGGAGACCATCCTCTCAAATTTGCTGGTTGCACCCTAAAAGACTTTCGTGCCGCATGAAAGTGGAACCCAAAATCATGGTAATTAAGAACTACCTAAAATTCCGTGAACTTGCTACTTCTGATTTGCAGGCCCCTGGCGATGAGGAGGAAGTCACCCGCTTGGGCCTCGCTCAAACGTGGCAAACATGATTTCCCAACAAACATGGTTTTCCAGAATGACAAATGAGACTGGGAGCCTTTTTGCTGGAACTTTGTTGCTAGGGCAAGGGGATGCAGAGTTCATGCAGAGTTCAGTTCAGGGTGACGAAGCTAGGTGTCCAACGTACGCAGTCATACTAGTCGAGGTTCCAATGACTCAAGCAATGCCGGTCCGCTTGTGCAAAACCAGGGCACACGACGTGTGTGTTTTCGAAGATGGGGGGCTGTACTGATTTCTAGCTTTATACACATGGCACGAAGTAAAGAAGCGGAGACATTGTTTGGGAGCATGTTGTGGATACTTTCCTAAGAAAATGCAAACATAGCGTCAGTTAGAACTCTTTACCTAGCTTGCGCTCCCCCAGTCTAATTGAATCAGACCTGCCATTTTGAGATCTTCCACGGAGCATTCATTTTGGTAAGCCTCCCAAAAGCCTTCTAGGAGCCTGCCAGCCGTGACGAAAAGCCTTTATGCCCGATCGTCAGTAGTTACTTGTGTCACTGGCCGTCAGCAGTCTTCTTGCATCGCTATGCAGTGACCTCGTTCTCGAACCGGATATTCCCGGTCAACTTCAAGCGGACAATGAACAAGCCAGGGCTGCAAGCAAGCAAGATGGGGTGAGCGTGGGGCTACTTTCAGCACACTGCCTATAACCTACAATGCCAGCCAACTTGTACTAGGTGCAGACGTCCGAAAAGAAGCCAAAATATTGTGGCCCACATGAGAGCACAGTAGCGCTTATGCAGGTGAGCTTGAAAAGTGTATTCATTTTCAGGGTTCAAGGCTGGGTCAAGTCTATTTCTGATTTGCGGCTCAGTCTGTCTGGGAATCAGAGAACCACACTATACAGCTTCATTTGCCAAACGTAACAATGCCGAAATAGTTGGGCCTCAATCTACAGGGAGTCTCTTTCTCACTTTTTTAATGGGGAGGTTCTTGATGAGCAGAGCGGCTAAGTAGTAGTCCCCATGTAACCCATGATAGTAGTCGTCCTTTGTTTTGATTATCCCTATTAACCCCAATATATATATATATCCTATAATCCCTATAGAACCCCTAGATTTCCCCCAGGGGTCAGTGATTTCAAATCACCCGTAGTGAGAGCCTTCGGTTGCCGAGGCAAACCTTCGAAGGCCAGCGGCGAGGGTTTGGGGCTAGGCCTTATTCGAAGGGTCCAAGTGTTCCATAGTTAGGTACTTAATTGAGTTGCAATTGTAGTATGTATAGGATTTGCAGAAGTACATGCTTATTCTGAGCGCTAGGCTGTAGGGTTCTGGGGTTGGAGTTTAGGGTGTTGGGCCCAAGGTCCCGGCCCCAGGGTTCAAAATTCTGGGTGCTTGGCTTCCTTCCCGATGACCTCTGGAAGTATTAATATATACCCTATATAACCCATTGTAGTAGTTTCCATTTTCTTTTCCATTGTCCCAATATAACCCCAATATATATCCCTTGATTCGCACTATTGTTCACTGCTCCACGTGTCAGGCACAGGGTCCAGAGAATGCTTAGCCTCATTCTATCTACTCAAGGGGGACTATAGGCATGTATTGGGTCATAGTTGGATACAGAGAATGCTTAAGGCGTATCTTCTTGTGGCACAGACAGTCAGCTCGCTCGGATCTGAGCACGCAAGCCCCAGAGTCCAAACATGAACTATACGTTGTTTCCCTGAAGGAGTACCTCCAAAGACCCCAGCATAAGGTGTTGAGGATCCCAGATTAGGGTTTAGGGATCAGGGTTCAGGGGTTGAGATTTAGGGTTTAGGGATGAGGGTTTAGGAATTAGGATGAATTAGGGATTTGGGTTTAGGGACATACAAAAGTTTCTTGGGGAGTATTGCACGCCATTGTGGTCTACAAGTGCCTGGTGGGAACGTCCTTGAATTCTGTTTCCGGGGCCCCGGGCCTTCGCAGCACATCCCCGTCTCCCCACCCAATAAAACATACCCCCTTTATATCCTTGTATCTCTACATACCCTTGTATACCATACCCCCACATATGCCCCTTTTTAAGGGAACCAAATTCTCAACCCGAAGTCAGGATGTAAGTTAAGCAAATGTCCAAGCTCTCCAGCCACCGCCTTTTGCCAGGCTGCGAAGGAGCATCGGTCGCTTCCAAACACCCTACAGGCCTCAGGGTTTAGTGAGTTTAGGGTTTATTAAGGGTTAAGGGTTTAGGGAGTTTAGGGTTAATGAAGGGTTAAGGCTAAGGGTTTAGGGAGTTTAGGGTTAGTTTAGTTTTTGGGTTAGGGGTTTAGGGTTAAGCGTTTAGTGTTTTGGGCTTAGGGTTTAGGGTTAAGGGTTTAAGGTTTTAGGCTGAGGGCTTGGGGTGCAGGGTTTTGGGGGCTAGGGGTTTAGAGTTGTAGGCATAAGAGTTCGAGGTATTCAAGTATTCCTCTTAGAAGAAGTCTTAGTATGACGTATGACTGTAAGTATGGGTGAAAATTGGTACGAATCTGTTTATTAGTAATCATCTTGGAAATTCGTTTTAGATTAACATGCTATGTCATGATCACTAGTGTCAGTGGTAGCTTATGATTCTTTTCCACTTTGGTTTCTGGGCTTTGGGGCATGTAAGGGCTTAGGCTTTGACAGCACTCGGGCTTGTTCCAATTCTATGGCAGATGTGTGGCTGACGTACCTTTTCTTCCCAACTGGACCTGAGGCAGCCCTCCATTTTGATCATATGGGTAGGATGATATTAATTTCGGACTCAAGGTTCAGGATCTAAGGTTTAGATGGTATAACGGTAATGGAACAGAAAATGGAAACTACAATCCCTATCTGCCTATATAATCCCTATAGTCCCCATAGTTTCCATTTTCTTTTCCATTATCCCAATATAACCCCGATGTACCCCTAATGTTACCCAGGGTTTGCAAGCCATTGAGCTAGATCCAGCGTTCGGAATGGAAAAGAACCTGGCAACTACTACACTGTTGTACGTTACTTTCTCAGCTGAGCTGCAGTCTGAACTCGTTAAAGGAGGTTATCTCAGGGATTATTTAGGGGAGTATTATAGGGGGTTTTAAGGGGGCTACTAGGAGTTTAGACTATAGCTCAGCTGACTACTAGCGCTGCGAGAAGCTTGGACTCCACTATCTTGGATAAGGGGCCAGTGCTATGGATGGTAAGCATGCGCCAGGATTGGTAAGGTAGGGTGATAATCTATGGACTGCTAGGAACACTTCACAGCTAAGCCTTCCTCCATTAAGCATAGCCGGTCCCAAGTTTCCTCAGATGCCCGAACTATCTCTGGGGCTTTCATGGATCAGCGCTGTCAAAGGTAAAGACCAGGTCCATGCACCGAGGGCGCCTTTGTAAGAAAAGGTCCCGTTCCTCTTGCGAGATGGTACATGCAGGGACTCCCCTCCCCATTTTGAGACACGCCCTTCATGAAGTCTTGTGTGAAGTATGCACTCCCCTGAATCATGCTTTCCAGGTCAGACTTCTACGAGTTCCCACACCTCATATATGAGCCATTGTCTAAACTCCTAGTATCCCCCTTAATAAGCCCTATAGTAGTCCCCTATATAATCCCTGAGATAACCCCCCATTAAGGAGTTTAGACTGTAGCTCATATGACTCCATATCTGCTTAACATTCCTCAGCCCTCAGCCTTAACATGCAGTTTAGGGTTAAGGGTCTAGGGGTTAGGATCTAGGGTTTAGGGCTTATGGGATTGAGGGTTCAGGAAGTAGGGTTTAGGGTATAGGGCCGTTGATCCCTGGCTACCAGGCCAAGGTGACCTTCCAGGCCTTTCAGGTCGAG